TGAATTCTTTAATGGAAATATTTTTTCTCACCTGTTTTACAGTAAGAGTCTATCTGTGATTTCCTTTCAGACCCGATTGATTTTTCACAGACTGTACAGAAAATTACTTTCCCATCAAATTTCAACTCGGGATAATTTGATATCCATATTTTAATTTTTGAGGAGAGACTAGATCCTACTTTCGGTATTATTCAATCTTTTTTTTAAAGTTATTACTAATGCAGATAGTACGATTCATTTCATCACAGTTCACTTCAAAACCAGAAGAGATAATGAAGGACTAAAGAAAGTAAGAATTCAATCCAAAACAAGGAAGGCAATTTTTTATTGAATTACTTTAAGCAAGTTTTATTCCAAAAATAGTCTGCACTTGTATTTACGTTGTCCTTTTGTAACGTTAAATTCAAATCTTTGTCAGTCACAGAATCATATGTCTTCCTCATAGTTTTCTTTTTTAAACTATAAACTTAATTTGGAAAGATATTAAAATAAAAAGAGTAAATATTTACAATGTATTTATAAATTATCTAATCTAGCACAAAATGTACAATTTAATGCAACAAAAGTCAAAATCGTGCAATTTAGGAAAAAAAAAAAAGAAGCAAAACATGCAATATCAGATTTCAGTTTGTTATTCTACAGGTTGTATAAAATTCTCCGTCATTAAAAAGCTCACGGATTTGTGGACTAACAAATACACCCTCTTTAACCTTAGCTTCACTTTAGCGAAGAAATTTTCCTTTCAAATACTTTAATGCTCTCCTGATTGTTCCATTCCTTTGACCTTTTTCATGAGCCCTAACTTTATATATAGTAGAGGTAAAATGATTTTTTTAGGGCCCACAAGAGGGTTGTAGAGGACATTTTTTTGTCCAGGGGTCAAGATTTCTCTTTGAGGCCATTCGTTCCTGATTTAATGAGATGCTCTGTTCACATAAGAAACAACAGTACTTAATATATCCCTGTTGCATGGCTAGAAGAATTGCCACCACTTTCAGGTCCCCACAGATTTGCCTTTGGTAGTCCTGGTATTTGATGGATTTTAGAAGGTTTTCCATGTTCAGTAAGATTCCTTCGTGTGGTCATCGTGTCCAATAGGGATAGAGGGAAGTAAATTGCCTTTGTGCAACAGAACTGCCTTGAGAGATAGCTTTGATGGATCTATGAACAACTTCTATTCAGAAGGTTTGTGATTGAGATTTAATGCTATCATCAGACCTGGAACATCACAACAGGCAACAAGGTTCTCATAATTTTTGAAAAAGGGGACAAAATCTCTGTGACGATCTTTGTACATTGTAACGTTTACACCAAGTTGTTAGAAGTTCCATTGCTTCAATCATGAACCCAAAAGTTCTGCTTTCCCTTTGGGCAGATCCAGGTCCCGAATCAAGTCACAAGTTTAGCTTGAGTAAGCAAGTGGGGTTTTATTTCTTGTTTGAAAGAAAAATCAGAATCATCTGATAGGGTTCCTCCTTGGGGATTTTCCTCTTCGTTATCCTCATTCTCATTCAAATCATAGTGTTCAGGAGGCCTTGGAACAGGCAATTCATCCCCGTGTGGTATTGGCCGTATAGAAGAAGGAAGTCAGGGTACTTCAGTCCGATTTCTTTTTTTGAGATATTCCATGATGAAGAGAAGGGGTCATGCAAAAAGTAGCAGTTGTCAGTGTGATTACTAGGCTCCCTTCACACCATGGAAACTGCAAAACGCATTGAACAACATTTCTTGTTCAACCATACTCTTAAGATTACACTATATGTGATGCAACAGCTGTGCGGGGCCCATGTTTTATCTTGGTCACCAACTTTCATCCCAAAATACTTGTGGTATGCTGTCTTGATCATCTGTGTGATACGAAGTTTTTGGCTTGCAAAGGGTACTTCCCCACAAATGTAACAAAAGTTGTCAGGAGCATTCACATACTTCCGGGGCATTGTAACATCAACAAAACTACTGGATTATCATGACGAAATCTTTGAAAGAATGCCTGAAGAAAGAAAAATCACATCAAGAGTAACTTTAAATGTAAACACTGCATACAGCTGTCAGCAAAATGATTCTGTGATTCACAACTAGAAATCAATCCTATCAACCCAGGAGCAGAAAATTTCCCCATATTACGTAGAAAGTAACTTAACTATATCTTTGAAACAAGAGTTAACTGACGATTTTTATTTGGAAATTCGAATTTCTCACAGCAAAAACATTGAATGTAGCTGTTTTCAACTTAGGTACAATATCAATGTAGAGCAGTGTAATCGGGTTTGAAGTTTTTACTCACAAGCAAATAAAATGTGCAATAACATAGAAATCCGATCTCTAGTTATGGTACTGTTAAATTAGGTCAGAGACAGCCTTTGACATTTGTCACCCCAATCTATTACTCCATGAGCTTCCCACCTCCCTCCGTGCAAAAATAAAAATATAATGCAGTCAGATATTAAACATATGTGAAGTACTTTACATTGTATTTCATTTATATGACTCTAATTTAGTAGGCTTTCTAATTTTTATTAATCCCTAACATGGCAGGCGCTTCTCCTTGGGTTTGGGCCCTGTCCGACTCTGGCTTAGAAACTTTATGCGTAGGATAGCAGTTTCTAAATCCTTTCACGAGTCCTGCCCATGACGAACCATGTCCCATAGTAATTATCTTTTACCTTTACCTGTACCACTACAACCCATGAAGGGTCTTGGGTTCAGTGTACTATTTAGGAAAAGTCCTGTTTCAAGGCCAACAGTTGTGCAGGGAGGGGATCAGATCAGGATGACACTTAACTGCCAGGTTTTCCCCCTTTGTAGAGGCTGGGTATGCCCCAGGAGGGTTTCCCTACCCCAGGGTCACCCCACAGCCAGTGAAACAGAATAAATAAATTTTCTGCCATGAGCCGGGATTCGAACTTGGGACCTTGGGCATTGGAAGCTTAGTGCCCTACTACTGAGCTACCCTGCTCCCCATATATGGTATGGTTGAAGGGTTAGGTGTCTGAGGTGTCTGACTCTCACACTGAAAACCAGAGTTTGAATCCACATTCAGAGAATAGTCACTCAAACCATAATAAGAAGTTTTAGACCATTTTCTAAAAATACTGTTCCATTATTGAATATAATTTTCCTACTTCAAGTTTAAGAATGAGACAGCCCACTAAGTTGGGGCATGTGTCCCAGAGTGCCCGGTTCTGAAAGTTGTTGTTGAAAGTTCGATTCCCACATGGGTTGATTATTTTTCATTTTTCAGCAGATCTAGGAAATGGATCTTGACATCCCCATTCTGGTAATCAAGCAGCAGCAACCTGAAGGAAACCATTAGGTATTAGTAAAAAGGACCATGTGGCCCAATTGCCGGACTAGTTCCCCCACGAGCACTTGAAGTTCGCTCATAGTTAATCTTTCTTTATTAAATTGTATGAATTGAATTTAGATTTGACAATGAAAATGAAAAAAAAAAACTTTGTCTAAGAGTTCGAAATATGATGATAAGATTATCTGATGTATTATCACAAATAGAAGGTTAAGGTCCCCATGGAGGCAACCATAGTCTTAGATTTTGAAAGGAAACCTATTTTTAATCATAACCAGAGTTAGTTCTGGTTATAAACTCTATTATTATTTTTTTTTCAAATCTTTAAGAAATATCTACTATAAAATATAAAAAAGGTTTTGTCATATCAGAGTCATATCTTTTCCATAAGAACTCAAAACCTCGTTAAGTTATTGGGCTGAACGTTTACTTGAGAGCTCTGGACATAACAAAGGGCTATTTTTATTTTAAAAATCCAGTCTTTAAAGGCTCTGTTCTGTTGGTCATTCTAATGTTATTCTTATGATCACGAATTTCATGATAAAGTAAAATACAATTTAAAATTTTAAAATCGTATTGGTTGATTAGAAGATAAATTGACAGATTCCTTATCACACAAACACAGTATTCCTTACTACAATTTATAACATGTAGTATTTTATATGAAAAAAAGCCTTAAGCAGTTTACATATTAATGATGTTAATTATAAAAAAACAACATAATTTTATTTTTTTCCAAATACTCTCGTTCTGAAGGGATGAAAAACCTTCAAAATGATCCTTTTCAGTTTAGGTTGGGGCCTTAACAGTCAATTTGGTCACTTACGTTGACTTTTGGACACACTCAGTCATTTTAAGATTCCATTAATATTGTGATCATTATATATTGTTCCATCAACCTCAGTGGAGTGACACTTGCACAGTAATACCGTTTCGTAATTTGGAAAGGATTTCGTAATTAATTAAATCGAAGGCTTTTGAAAAATCAAAGAGAACCAGTAAAGAGATTTTCTATTTGTCTATGGAGAATTAACGGTCGACTATTTTTTAAGAAAGCAGATTGTATAAAATACTGGGGTCGGAAACTGGACTGGATGGATTAAGGAGATTCTTATTCAAGAAATGCTGGAAGTTGTGAATCGACTATTCTTTCTAGTGGTTTTGATTATTAGATTAAATTAGAAGAATAAAAATATGTATTTTACAAGAATTTTTTAAATTTGTGTAGCAACTAGTTCTTATATAAATAAATCTCTACACACTACATTCAAAACACAAAGGATGTATTTTCTTGAAAAATCCAAAATAAATTAAGACCATGGAATCTTATTTAAATGTCCATAATGCAGACTTCTACTAATACATACTAATTAATCTAGTAACATGCAATCAAGCTGAGATGTTGAAGGTGGGAAAGTCCGTCAGTGAGGATATAGAATATGTAATTTAGTGATGAGTTTCAGAAGCAGGTATGGATTATCATTAGTTTCATATCTGAATTAGGAGGTGTTTATTTCCCAAGTATAAATGATTTTAGCATTATTTTAATAGATCTTCCTGACTACCTTTTCTTATGATGATGAACCTTTTCTTATTAAACATTAATTAATTACTTTTATATTTTATTTCTTTGATATTTATCTTAATTGTTTTTCATTATTTTCAAGCTTTATGTGTACGTATTTACATACTTATATTTTTTTTCAGTGATTTGGAATTGTCTACACTTGCTGAAAGATTACTAGATACTCGCATTTCTGATACCGATTTACCTCAAGATAAATCCATTAGAGATGCTTCAATAAACTACATCATGTTATCAAAGAAAATGGCTAAAAAAAATCTGAATGAAGATAAAGTTAGTGCTTTACATCAGTGGCATAAAAATCACAAAGTTATTACTACAAAAGTTTCTAAGAAGAGTGCAATTGTTGTAAATAGTGATATTTCTAAAGATGAAACATTTTATCGAGTAATTTCACCAAATAAGCAAAGCACGCCATATTTACATACTACTCCTAAAAAAGCTATTAGTTCAATACCTCGTAAAAGTTTGTTTACTCTCACGAGCAATATGAGTAACGGACATTTAGAAACAAGTCAGGCTAACATAACTGTTGTAGAAGAAGCTGAAGAAAAAGATGTAATAGGAAATAAAAATTCATTAGGTTCTCAGGTTCATAGTGAAGTATTGAAAACTTCAGAGTCCAACTATTCCCGTTCTTCATTAGATTCTAATATGAAAAATAATTTAGCTGCTTCTATTGCAAAAGTGGTAGATGCAAATAAAATTGATGGAATTCATAACTCGGGAAATATTTTAGTAGATTTGACCATTCCAGGTTCTAGCACTCAACACAACACTTCTGTGGCTGGTACACTCACCAAGGAACCAATTCCAACTCCAGCATTTTTCAAAGGGGTTCCATCAGAAAATCAGGTTAGAGTGAGGGAAAATGTCATTTCTACATCTTGGGGTGCTCAAACACCTATATTTAGTCAGATGTATGTCTCCCCATCAAACATTTCTACCAGTGTTAAAACTACATTAACAAGCTCTAAGTCTATTTTCTCTGGGTCTTTAAGTACAGTTGGATCAACAACGAGTTCTACTCATCCTATAAGTTCCTTTTCTTTCAATTTGAGTGGAAGTCAACCTCAATCATCAGCAAAGCCAATATTTTCTCAAACGAATCCACTCGATTTTTCGAGTAATCAGAAAGGTTCTCTCATCAGCTCTATATCAGGAGAAAAGGAATTTAATGAGCCTGTTGTAACTACTGTTTCAGCAATTCACAATACACCTACTATGAAATCAATCACTTCTAAAACTGTTTTTGGTATTGCCACCGTAGCAGGGAACTCTACAGTTTATAGTCCTTCCGTTTCTAATGTGTCTCCAGTTAATCCTATTACCACATCTACAATACAACTGAATTTACCACTTTCAGTTTCTAGTGCAAATCGGTTCAGTGATCTTCATAGCTCATTGACTATTACACCAATACCAGCTAATAGTTCGATTGGAGCAAATTTTACTTTAGGATCCCCAAGTTCTACTTCAGTTGCTACTGGTACATCCTCAGTTTCTTCTGTTGTTTCAATTCAATCTAAACCCAAAAGTACAACTTCATATTCAGCAAATTTATTTTCTGTTCCAGTTTCTACGTCTGTTGCATCTACAAATCAACTTCCAGTTAGTTCACAGCCTCAAACTGTTTCCGAAACTAACCCGGGTAATGTTGAAATAAATCTTTCTCTTAAGTCAAGCGTACCTTCTTGGACTGGTGTTTCCTCATTAGTCAGTTCTGGCACTCTTACAACTTCATCCTCCACTACTTCTGCTTCTATATTTGGTGGAACTTCAGTATTTGGTTCATTGAAAACTCCTGTGGTTTCATCTCAATCAACTTTAGGTGGCACTCCAATATTCGCTTCATCGGCTCCAACTTCAAGGGTTTTCAATTCTACGTCTGCAACAACTAATACTAATATTTTTGGACCTGCTGTGGCTGCTGCCACTACTTCTTCTATCTTTGGATCTACTAGCACAACATCTACTAATTCATCTGTTTCTTCTGCCACTACTACATCAGAATCAGCTGTTGTTACTACCACTGAGTCCACTTCATCATCCACTACATCAAGTTTTGCAAATCTACCTGCTACTTCAAGTCCAGCATCTATATTTGGTACTTCTACAACCACAGTGCCAACTCCAGCTAAATCAGTATTTGGCTTTTCTACTTCTGCCTCCTCTGTTTTCCCCACTACAACTTCTACATCTTCCTTATTTGGGAGTAGTACTAATAATACAACAACTGCAACTTCAGCTTCAGCTTTCTCAACAACTCCTGCTACTACAACAACTACATTTGGGGAAGAAAAAATTACACCCTCCGTATTTGGAAGTATGCCTAAAACAACTGCATCAATTTTTGGAACAGCTACAACTTCATCTTCATTTTTTGGTAATAGTTCTGTTTTTGGAGCAACGACCACAACTGTATCATCAGTTTTTGGAAGATCAAATACAACAACTGCATCTTCAGTTTTTGGAGAACCAACTATTACAACTTCTTCATCAGTGTTTGGAGGAGCATCTACAACTACTACTGCGTCATCAGTTTTTGGAGGAGCTGGGACTACAACCAGTTCTTCCCTTTTCGCTACTACAGGCACTACATCAACATCTCTTTTTGGAGCCACCACTACTACATCATCAGTTTTTGGAGCAGCAAGCACCACAACTACTTCATCAGTCTTTGGTACAACAAGCAGTTCAACAACTCCTTCCGTTTTTGGATCTTCAAATACTACAACTACATCATCACTTTTTGGAACTCCTAGTGCCACTTCTACTTCTTCAGTTTTTGGGACTCCTAGTACTACTTCAGTTTTTGGAACTCCTACTCCTATTACTACTTCTACTACTTCAGTTTTTGGAACTCCTACTCCTAGTACTACTTCTACAACTTCAGTTTTTGGAACTCCTACTCCTAGTACTACTTCTACAACTTCAGTTTTTGGAACTCCTATTCCTAGTACTACTTCTACTGCTTCAGTTTTTGGAACTCCTAGTACAACTTCTACTGCTTCAGTTTTTGGAAATCCTAGTACCACTTCTACTACTTCAGTTTTTGGAACTCCAAGTACCACAACTACTACTTCAGTTTTTGGAACTCCTAGTACAACTAGTTCCTCTATTTTTGGGTCATCTAATGTTACAACATCCTCATCTGTTTTTGGCACTGCTAACACATCTTCATCAGGTTTCGGTTCACAAAGTAATCAGGGAAGTTCAATCTTTGGAGCAGCAGCTGCTCTTTCATCTACTTCTTTTTTTGGATCTCCTACTACAACAAGCTCTTCCTTTGGAAATCAGTCAGCTGCTTCTATTTTTGGTGGAAGCTCCAGCTTTGGCACTCCTTCAACTACTAATTCATTTTTTGGTAAACCAGTATGTAGTCCGACATCTACTACCGCTAGTGTTTTTGGTTCAACTACCAATGTTTTTGGAACTACAACTACAACATCTACAAGTTCAATTTTTGGAGGAAATGGTTTCCAACAGAAGTCATCTCCTTTTGGCCAAACTCCAGGCAATGTATTTGGACAAACACCTTCGTAAGTTATTTTTTTTTTTTTAGTTTATAATTTTCTTGTTTCAAATAATCAATGATGAATGATTTGGATATGTGTATTTTTCTTAGATCTGGTGGTAATTTTGGAACAAGTGGTGGATCCTTATTTGGAGGTACACCGAGTTTTGGAAGTCCTTCAGCTCAAGGAAATATATTTCAACCAAGTAATACACTAATATTTAATTTATGTATTTTCTAACTGATTATTAAAATTATTTCAATTAAAATATTCTAACCCTTTTTTTAAATTTTATTGTTTTTGTTTTGTTATTTAAAGAAAGGTTTTAAAAGAGTTGAAGATGTATCAAGGTGAGGATTATTGAATTGAATTTCTTATTTTTTGTCTTATAAAATTCCAACTGTAATTGATTGTGATTTTTGTTTTCCTACTGCTGCTAGGTAATAAAAGTATTATAATTGTCTCAAATTGTCTTTGTGCTGTTTCATAAAATCTTTACTCTTCACAGCCCACTGGAACCAAAAATACGTTTTCAGCCATTTGTGTGTGTTCATGTTTGTGCCATGATTATCTCCTAAACGGCTGGACCGATTTTATAGCTTATTGTTTTGTTGTAGGGTTTCATCCCTGTGACCCTCAGATACTCTGTGTAGAATATTGGTTGTGCAGTTAGTGAAAATATGTCCTGTGGACAGAAGCACCAAAATGGCTCTGACAATTTGGATAAACCATTTAGTTTTTCATACATGTAATATATCATAACTCAAAATATATATATTTTATCGCAAATTTTATTTAGAATCATTTGAAAAGTATTCTCTACTGAAACAAAAAGGTATTGAAATTTTAACCATCTTTAGTTAAGAGACGGTGCACTGTTCTTACTTTTTGAACTAATATCCATATTTTTAAAAGTACTTTGTGCATTACTTTCATCGAAACCTGTTTGATTTTTTTTTTTAATTTGCAAATTTATAATGGTTCAAATTTCTTTGAAATTGTCAGAGCTTTTGTCTATTTGTTAGCAAATAGGTCTTCCAGGATATTTCTTTCTTCCATAATTAACTAGAGAAAATCTAAAAAATTGGAAAGAATTTCCCTATTCCTCTTCTATCTGTATTTCTCAAAATATCAGAGACAGAAAATCCTTGATTTTCATTCGCTGAACAATATTTTAATGAAAGATTCAGCTTTTTTCATTTCCACTGTCACATTTGTTCAGATTAAAAGTAGAAAATAGACCAAATTATAGTCCTATTTGGTTATACTATTTTTTTTGGCTTGACACTTGTCCAGTTATTAATCTCCAGTCTTTCATTGTACAGTACATTATTAGCTACTCACCAAAAAAAGAAAAATAAGAATCAGACGAATGAATTATATTTATAATCTAAGCCAGCTGACTATTTATTTCTCATAACATATTTTAGAGCATAAATAATTTAAACTTTTAGTATAAACCCAAAAATTTTGTTTGTGTTCTCTAAAAAGTTATTTAGAAATGTAATTAAAAAATTATTAAAAGTTCCTTGCAAATTGTTAAAATAGGACTTATAAAGTTAAAAAGTGTCAACCTCTACTGATGTTTAATGCTCAACAACATTTAATTTATATTTACATATTCAGTAAGTTTTTAGTTAATTTAACTCTTGAGAAATGTTAATTAGCAGTCCAAGGATCGCTTCATATGCCACAATATCTGATTTACAATGATATGTTGTTTTGTGATGTGTCAACTAAGAATATTGAACTGAATATGCAGAAACATTTGATTAATACTATTATATTACACACTTTATGTTGGCAGTTGGTTTAAAATTAAACTTGCATAGGTGGAACTGGCAACATATTTGGTGCAGCAGCTAACACTAGCCCATTCAGCGGAACACCTCAAGCAAGCAGTCAGCCAACATTTGGATCCCCACCTTCCTTTCAATCAGCACAAAGTAAGCAAATGACAGTGTTTTGTTCTTTTAATATCTCTGTTTTATCTTATTAAGCTGTCTTAGTTGAGGTCATAATACTTTATTAAATTTTTATTTTTCACCCAATAAATTTTGCATTTAAACTATTTTTATAAAAGGACCTTTTGGCACAGCAGCTCCTGTTTTTGGTGGGCAGTCAACATTTGGTGCTAGTCCCACATTTGGAGGATCCCCAACATTTGGTTCACCAGGTAAAAAAAGCTTGCTTTTTTGTGATTAGCTAATTAAATATTCTTTAGTTATTCTAGTTGGACAACATATGAATGACAAGTCTTAATTCATTTTATATGAAGTATCATTAAGTAGCTATCAGTGTGTCCAGTATGATTCTTATTATTTAATAGCATCATTAGCATTACAATACAATAAATTTAATATTTTATAAGTATGTAGTTATATAATTGCCCTGCAAATTAAGGAACAAAACCTCACACCCATTTTTTTATTAACCCTTTCGCTGCTACTAACTGATATATCAATCGTTGGTTGCAGTGCCCGGTGTGCTACTAGCTCTAGCTGATATATCAGTCGGGCGGAAGCAGTATCTGGTGTGCTACTAGCTGATATATCAGTCGGGCGGAAGCAGTATCTGGTGTGCTACTAGCTGATATATCAGTCGGGCGGAAGCAGTATCTGGTGTGCTACTAGCTGATATATCAGTCGGGCGGAAGCAGTATCTGGTGTGCTACTAGCTGATATATCAGTCGGCTTGTTTTCGACTTCGCTGCTTCTCGCTATTATATCAATTCTTCCACTGTCTCCATCTGTAGGCTGTTTATAGAAGCTGCAGTGTCCTTCAAAGCCGATAGAGGGCATAGGACTTTACTTTTGTCATTTTAACTTCTAACTACTCAGGCTACCTGTATGTCTGCACCACCCTTTTTTTTTTATTGCGAAGGGCCGTTATTCTCTTTATCTGAAATTTTATCCTCTAGTATATTTTCTGCTTTTCAAGTGAACAGTTGTATACGTGAATATGGCGAGAAAAATTTACTCTGAACAAGAATTGTTAGAACTTTTAACTGGTGTGAGCGAAAGGGAAGCGGAGTTTTCTTCGGATGACGAGGATTCTGAATATCTTTCCCAAAATATTTCCATTGGAGAAACACCGGGAATCAGTGGAATGTCTAGGGCTAAAATGATACAAGTATTACGCAGCCAAAGGGTTAAAATATTCATTCAAAAATATGTAAAGAATGAAAAAAATTGTTTTTAAAGATATAATTGAGGTTTCATTCCTGGTATTTTTTATTCACTCCTTTGAATTCTCTATCCAATAACGTGTGTCCTAGACACTTCATTCAAGATTCTTTAAGTATTTCCTCGATAGGTTTTATATTGAAGTTCATTCTGGCATCTTAACACAGTCATACTGAGTACTGAGCTGTCGATTGTAATTTATATTTTGGATATTAAAGTTTTGCAATATTTTGAAATTCTAGAAATAAAATTTAAAGGTGGGAATTCAATTTAAAAAAAAAAAAATAGAGAATAACTATTTTTCATCAAACTGACCAAGAAATCAATGATTTTTCTGAAAATTGATTGTTATAAAAATAAAAAACTTAAACGAAAAGGTAGACAAACTTTGTCTCCTTATGGCAGATATAAAAATTCTTAGTGCTCTGAATTGAAAATTTTCACTTGTGTTTTATGTTTTATACATTAAGAAACAAAATTGGTTCTGTGTATGTCTGTGGTAAAATTCAAGTGACAGGCATAGTATCCTATTGCCATAAATTCGAATTTTCACGGAATGTGCAGTATGGTACAAAGTTGATTCCAAATTAATTTCCATCCAATATTTTTAGTTAACCATACACCATGCACAAATATATTTTTAAAAAAACTCATTTCATTTGGTCTGGAATGAAGTTATGGATTATTGAATAAAGTGAAGGGATTAGTGTATCAATTTTATTTAATTCCATTTACTAATTTTGCTTAAATATGCACAAATATATTTTTTCTTGATATGCTGTATGGTTCTGTGATTGTGTATAGACAAAAAGAAAGGTTGAGTAAGTTCCAAATAAATCAATCGATATATTTTCAACAATGTACATCGTGTGTTTTTAAAATTAATTCTAACAACATCAATAATTCTATAATAATCCATATTACATATGCCTGTATAAGTAAGATGAAGTTAAAAATAAATGAAGAGAAGGATGGTTGGGGTGATCAGTTATAATAAAAATGGCAAAAATAAATAATAATATTAATTTAATAATGTGACTGATCACCCCAACCATCCTTCTCTTCATTATTCACTAAAGACAACCATCAGCCTGCAATTAAAATTAATGCAATTATTAAGAATATAATGGTTGTGTTAGGGCAATAATTATATGGATCTGGAGGTTATTTATAAATTTTTTAACTTAATCCAATTGGTTAGAAATTAGATAGTACATGTTTAATGACACTGATGCTAAAGAAGTTAAAAAGGGGAATATTGTTTTTTGTCAAAATTAAACAATTAAACAGTAAATTTGTTTTCTTATTTTCTTCTTTGCCAACAACGAAAAAAATTTGTTCTTTTGTAGTTACTCCATTCCAACCTCTGGTGGGCCTCCTCTTTAGTGATATGTTTATTCAGATAAGTTTATGTAAATATATCATGCTGATAGATATTTCCTGTAATATACATAATTTTAATTTTTAACGATCTATAAAATCCTAATATTTTTATCTAACTCCAATACTATGATTCCTTCCACCCTTCTCTTCCTGATGTGAAATCACTGGTCATGATCATGTAATTAAAAGCCAAATTTTAACTTATAAGCACAGGTGGGAGTCAGCAGAAGTCCTAAATCAAGGGAGGTTATATTTATTTTTGAATCTTTCTATTCCTTCTCTATTAATTGGGGAGGGTAGTAAGTAATCTTGTGAAAATAGTGATTAATCATACACCTTAACTGACATAAAATTGTAAACTTATTAACGATAATAGCACATTCAAATAATTAATGTTCCTAAAAATGGAGTAAAGATTCAAGTAATCATGAGGTTTTAAATTGAACTTATGTGGAAGGACAAACAAACAACTGTAATGAAATGTAAGCATAATTTTTTGTTCAAACCTTTATTTATTAAAATTATGACTTAAGGCCTTTTAATCCTTAACACCAGTGATCTGTATTCTGTATAAACAAAAGAACATTAATCTTTTCTTTATGTTTCTATTTTTCTACTTATTTTTTATTGTTTTTAGGTGGTCAAACCTTTGGTAGCCCTGGTCAACATTCTTCTACTTTTGAAAATCTTGCCAATCAAGAAACTTTATCATTTGGTAACCTGGCACAACAGCAGGCATTTCCTACCACTTCCTTTGGGTAAGAATTAATTGATTAACTTTTATTAATTAATTATTTGATATCTAAATATTTTCCCATCATTAATAATTTTTTTAAATAATGGATAGGAGAGGACTTTTTTAGCAACTCCACGTTATGATATGAAAATTGTTTTGGGTGATCTGAATGCACAAATAGGAAAAGAAAGTTTAGTTGGTGCAGTATCTGGTCGATTCACGATTCATAGTGAGACAAATAATAATGGAAAGCGTCAGTTTGCGGAAGCCAATAATATGGTCATAAGGAGCACTACGTTCGAACACAGAAATATACATTTAGGAACATGGAAATCCCCAAACGGAGCAATTACACAGATTGATCATGTATTGGTTCAGAAAAGGCATGCAACGTCAATTATTGATGTCAGAGCAACGAGGGGACCAAACTGTGACTCCAATCATTATATGCTTAAATTGAAGCTTAGACAGCATCTTGCAGTGATAAGAACTGATCAACGGCACTGTAGGAAAAGGTGGGGGATTGATAAGCTGAAAGACCATGAGATTGCTGGGAGATTTAAAACATCACTAAATAGGAATCTGATTGACAGTCAGGACAATGAGGAAGAAGAATGTGTAGACAAAAAATGGAAGAGAATTAGAGGAGCTATTGAAAAGTCAGCAGAGGAGGAGATAGGTGAGAGGAGTACGCAAAGGAGTGGTTTGATACTGATGTCTTGAGGTCCTGCGTGAAAGAAATCAATGTAGGACGGTGATGTTGCAGCGCTCTACAAGACAAACTTCTATGGCATATAGAGAAAGTCGGAAAAAAGCAAAAAAGGTTATTCGAAATAAGAAACGGGATTTTATGAAAAGGAAAATAGAGCAGATTGAGGACAACAAATGAGACTAGAAAATTTTATGGAGCAGTAAAATTTATGAGTCAAGGTTTTCAGTCAAAAATGACCGGATGCAAAGATAAAAATGGCGTGGTAGTGAAAAGCTACCGAGTTCTAGGTAGATGGAAAGAGCACTACACAGAATTGCTCAACTCTGGTGGTGGTAAATGTATGGTTGGTAGTGATGAGGGGTGTGTTGATGACCTGGAGCCATTGTCTATAGAAGAGGTGGCTGAGGCGATTAAAAAATTAAAAAAGAATTCTTTAAGTACGGAGGAGAACAATTGATAAGCCAAATGTATTTGCTGTTGGAGGAAGTTTTGAGTGGTGAAATCATGCCTCAAGAGTGGTGCACCAGTCTGATATGCCCGATATATAAAAAAGGAAATAAACTCCAATGTGAGAATTACAGGGGCATTTCTCTATTGGCTGTAGCCTATAAAATTTCAACATCCTTTCTGTGAGGCTCAACGTATTTGCCGAGAACATAATGGAAGAAAACCAGTGTGGATTTCGGAAGGGGAGAGGAACAACTGATCAGGTCTTTGTGATGAGACAGATAATGCAAAAAGCCTGGGAATATAAGATTGACCTACATATGCTGTTCATAGATTACCGGCAAGCTTTCGATAGAGTGATAAGAAGCAAATTAATAAATGCCTTACATGAGTCCCAAATTCCAAAAAAAATAATAAGGTTATTGCAAAAGACTATGAATAATAGCAATGCAAAAGTAGTTATTAAAGGCAATGTAAGCAATAGCTTTCCAATGACGTATGGGGTTAGGCAAGGGGATGCTTTGTCTGCCACATTATTTAATATTGCACTTAATAATGTGTTGAAAAAACTGGATTGGATTCACCTGGTTGCACACTTAACACAATGGTGCAAATATGTGCTAACGCAGACGATATATGCCTAATTACCAGGAATTTAAGATTAATAAAAGAAATCTTTGCAATATTGAAAGCCGTAGGTGAAAATGTTGGGCTGGAAATCAATCAAGATAAGACAAAATACATGTATGTCGGAGCCGACAATGAGGCTGGTCCACAGAGCATTAAAATATGTGGTCTTACCTTCGAACGTGTCAAAAAATTCACATATCTGGGGGTGGAAGTGAATTCTCAAAATAAAATTGCTGCTGAGGTGTACAAGAGGATCATGGCTGGAAACCGGGCGTACTATACCAACCTAACATTTTTTCGATCATCGTTCCTGTCACGAGAAACAAAGATAAGACTATATAAGGCTTAAGTAAAACCTATTGTGACTTATGCAGCGGAGACATGGACCCTTTGTACTAGCACAATTAGTATGATGAATATTTTTGAAAGAAAAATATTGAGAAAAATTTATGGAGCTGTTTGTGAAGAGGGTGTGTAGAGGTATAGAAAAAATACGGAGCTATATGAATTATATAACAGCCCCAACATAATTAATTTCGTTAAAATTAGGCGTATGGAATGGTTAGGCCACCTGGTTAGAATGGACCACAGCAGGATGCCTTATAGGGCATTGTTCTCTACGATGTATGGCACAAAAAGAAGGGGAAGGCCAAGAAAAGATGGCTACAAGATGTTGAGAGCGACCTTAGAACACTGGGCATGAGAAATTGTAAGGAAAGAGCGAGCAATAGGGATGATTGGCATGCTATGATTCAGGAAGCCAGGACCCACCCTGGGCTGTAGAGCAAGATAAAAAAAAAAAAATAAAAAAAAAAAAAAAAAAGATAGACGTAGTTACTATGTATGTTGAATATTTTTCAATATTGGTTCAACTGAAGCCAATCAAGGCACAACGCGATTCCTGCACCTTAAATCAATAGATATACACCTAAATCATTGATAATTTTCCAATGTGAATTAAATGAAAATTTATATTATATTAGTATTTTAGGTAATAATTTATATTTTAAAGTATAAATTGTAACTTATTGTTAGAGCCTTTTTTTGTGAATATGTGCTCTGTCATAACATAACAGACATTTTCTGATACAAGTTTTCAACTTATATAAAATCTCAATTGCACAATATTTTTATTATGCTATGACATTACTATGCAAATATTTTTTTCAAAGAAATTTTGATTTTTTATTATTTATAAAATATTGAGGATTTTTCCTGAAAGAATTCCTTTTGGACAAATATGTAGTCGAGTGAATAAAGTAGCTAGCTACACCATTGTTTCTAAAACCATAGTAAAATTATTAGACAGTTTAGTTTTTAACTTTTCTGGTCAACCTTGGCCTTGCATATTTATCAGAAATGCAAACAAAAAAATTATTGAAAATATAACTCAGTTATAACTTAAACTCTGTGCTGCATGCACCCTCCGAAGAAGACCCTGCTAAGCCGGTTCGAAACATTGGGTTTAAATTAAATAGTTTTTCCACTATTTTAGTTTCTTTATGACCGCCATCCCGGACCATTTCCTTCCTCTATATTCTCCTGTCTTAAATATGCAATAAAAAGTGAACAGAGAATCTATTATTTATTTACCTTTCAAGATTTATCAACAAATCCAATTCGGTCAATACACAGTATTCAAATAAATTATATGCATATATAAATTGATGAATTCTTTACACCGAAAAATATATTAAAATAAGGAAAATTTGTAATTTAAACAATAAATTTAGTAAAGTCAAAATTAGAATATATATATATTTTTTTTCTTCATTTTTTTATGTTCATTTCCTTGGCGTATTTATATATGCATATAATTTATTTAAAAATTGGGTATTGACCAAATTGGATTTGTTTAAGCAGAAAAAAAATATATTTTTTCTAATTTTGACCACTAAATTCTGCACTTAGTTTTTCCAAAAAAGTTCCAATCTCAACAAAAAATTGGGTTCATAAAATTATAAATACTCAGTGTTTTTCTTTTCATTTCAAAAGTGAATATTATTAGTTTTTGCGCTAATAGGCTTTTGAAATGGCTGTCAATATTTCCTTTTCCCCCATATAATTTTTGATTCAGAATTTTAAAAAAATTATTTATGACAAGTGTTAATAAGTTTCCTAATTTTCATTTAATTTTCAGAGGAAGTTCTTTTAGCAGTTGGAGATCATGACGTACCTAATGACGGTCCTAATAAAGTAGAGAATAACAATAAGATAAATGAATATAATGTAAAAAGTGAATGTTATATATATAACAATTTTAGATACTCATTTACTCGTCTCTTTATTTTTTTTTATATGAGTGTTTTTTCATGTTGTACATTTGTTTGAATGTTGGTAATTAATATATTACTGACTCCATTGTAGAAAAAGATAATGTTAACAATTCTGTTTTATCATTGCTGAGAATTCGTATCTATTAATTTATAATTATAAAAAAATATCTATGAATTTAAAATATATATTGGAAAATAAGAAGGACCAATGCTTTTATTTTTTTCACCTATAAAAATTTTTTGGTAATTTTCTCCAAATTTAATGCTAGTACAACAGTTGGAAAGCTCTTTTTCTACTCACATCAATAATTTTTGGATTTATTTCTTTTTAAGCTAGAAATTAAGAAAAATCTTTGGTTCTCATTTGTTTATGGAAGTCAGGTTTATTATTATATTATTTTGTGTAGCATAGAGAGCACTAAATCCCTAAAAAATTTTATGTGAGTGGTGGAGTTGTCTAAAGTTATCTCAATTTTTGTGGCTGTTGAAAAAGTTTCGTAGGATCCAACTTAGGCAAAAATTTCGATTAAGAAATTTTAATTTTTCGATTGCTGTATAAAATTGTATTTAAGGATTTTTTGAGGCACAAAAAACTAATAAATTTGTTGTAATTTATGATACATTATAAATCATTTAATACCATCATAGGCATATTTTTCACTAATTCTGTAAAAAAAAAAATTGATTGGTATATAACCAAAAATCCGGACAAAATAAAAACAAAAATAAATAACAAATTTTGTTTGAAATTATATAAAACATTTTTTCTAAGCTCCTAGAGCCTATTTGAACGAATGCTGGGACATCTGTCCAATATTTTTGAATGTTGTATCACACTGACTCAAACAGACAGTAGTCACAAAAAAATCACTGAATATATTAAGACATTTGCAGATTGTTGAACTGGGTTATTCAGAAACCAATTAACCCTCAAAAACAACAATTCGAGATTAATGTTTTCAGATGAAAATAAATTAAACTTTAAATCAACAAAGAATTTATTTACAAATTTAATTGATTATACTTACTTTTTAGTTGAATTAAAGTAAACTTGGTAAACAGAAAACTACCGAGTTTGTTGGATGAGTTTTGCTATAACTAAATAATTTCAAAATGAAATGCAGTCGCTTGGTTTACGGTCAGCTTTATGACGTCCTTTTGATTTGGAATTATTGATTTCTGCAAATCATAATAATGGCCCATTTTAGGTTAGAATGATATAAAAGAAGATTTGTTGCCAACCATTTTGTGGGTTCGCAGGTTTCTCAAGAATGGTACTCAATTACAAAGCAGACATTTATAAGGCTTCTTCCTTCCAAATTAGTCATTAATATTTATTTTGAATTTGAATATATGTAACAAAATAGATCCATAACATGAATGTCAGTGGTGGAGCTTCTCAGGTACAGAGTGAGATTCAGGGTGAAATTATAGATGACTAACCTGAATTTTCAGATTATTGGTTAATAACAATTTTTATTCTCAGTATCTGTTCTCATGTTTAATGACCCACATTGGTGAGGCTTCTCACCTGTATTATTTGTATTTCAAAGACTTGATGAATAATATATTTACTGTCACAAAGAGAATATTTATAATCCTTCTTACTTGTAATTAGATTTTTCATACTTCCAGATTGTACTAATTTAAAATCACAATAGATTAGGTAACGTCACTGATGAGGCTTCTCAGATGTATGACGTGCTATTACATGTTTTTTTAAACAATGAGATGTAACAGTTTTGTAGTCACAGTGGGGACATTTATATGGCTTCTCACCAGTATGGTGGACCATTATATGACTTTTCATACTAATGAATTGTACAGATTTATATTCACAGTGAGGACATTGATGAGGCTTCTCATCTGTGTGACGTGCCATTATATGTCTTTTCAAATCTTGAGATGTAATAGATTTGTAATAACATTGAGGACAGTGATAGGGTTTCTCCTCTGTATGATGGGCAATTATATGTTTTTTCAAACATTGAGATGTAACAGTTTTATAATCACAATGGGGACAGTGATGAGGCTTTTCACCTGTATGACGAGCCATCAAATGGTTTTTGAATTCTCGAGGCGTAGCTGTTTTAAAGTCACAATGAGGACAGTGATGAGCCTTCTCACCTGCATGATGAACTATTATATGTTTTTTCATTTCTCGAGATGTACAAGATTTAAAGTCACAATGAGGACAGTGATGACGTTTCTCACCTGTATGATGGAGAGTTGTATGTTTTTTCAATTCATAACGTGTAACTGATTTAAAGTCACAATGAAGACAGTGATAAGGCTTTTCATCTGTATGATGGACCATTATATGACGTTTAAGATGATTTATTCTTACTGCTTTATAGTCGCAATGAGGACAGTGATGAGGCCTCTCGCCTGTATGACGAGCCATCATATGATTTTTTAACCCTAGAGGTGTAATTGTTTTATAGACACAGTTAGGACACTGATAAGGTTTCTCACTTGTATGACGGGCCATTATGTGCATATTCATAGCACAATGCGTAATAGATTTATGGTCACAGTGAGGACATTGATAAGGCTTCTCGCCTGTATGACGGGATATTATATGGTTCTTCATATTTCCAGATTGTACTGATTTATGATGACAGTGAGGACACTGATATAACTTCTCAACTTTATGATGAACATTTATATGTCTTTTCATATTTTCAAAATTAGCAGATTGATCGTTAGAATAAGGACATTGATAAGGCTTCTCATCTGTATGATGGAACATCATATGTCCTTTTATATCTGTAGAATGTACTGATTTATAATCCCAGTGAGGACATTGATTGGACATCTCGCCTCTATAGCTGTTATCCTTGGCACCTATAAGCAATCAATTATCATACTGAATAACAAAATAAAAGTTTTCATTGTGTCAATTAACAAATGAATTCATTATTTTAAATTTTTTGAAATAATTAGTTAAGTTCAATAACTTCTTAAAATTTTACTTTTTTTCATTATTTAAGTTATGATTGTGATGAAATCATCATCATAAAAATTTATACCTCAATACCAAGACAGACATTATACAAATTCTAAACTGTTGATTGGTGATCTGTAGGTAAACATATCAATACTTTAAAATAATTAAGAAACCAACAGGTGCTATAACTACTACCAATGTAGACAAACCTTTATTTAAAATACTCACATCTGTACACAGTTTTTTTATTTTAACAATTAAAATTTGTTTCATATACACATACTTTTAAAAAAGATTTTCATACTCTACTAATATTAACTTTTTTTTTATTTTTAATTTTTTGGATAAAGCTCAGAATCTTTCCCAAAGGTTCACTTTTATTTCTTATTAATTTTAAAAATTTATCTAGCAGCAAGAAATTATTTTTTAACATACGTCTATTTTCTTTCTTACTATTGTATGATAATCAATTATTTTAAAAGATTATTTCGTCTAATTTTTACTTCTCTACATATTGTGGCCTTGGTTTGAAAAGGTCATGACCAGATTTATTATGATCTTGAAAAACAGAGCTGAGCTTCAAAGTTACAATTTACTAGTATGAATATTATGCTACTTAGACTACAATATCTTGAAGCTGTGAGCTTAATTTTGCATTGGTCGATGACTTATTCTATCTATTACTTATTAATAGAATTTTGAATATTGAAATTTTGCAGTTAAAACTTTGTTATTTAAGAATCCATTTTGATGGTGAGACAGCGTTTTATAACTGCAAACAGCAGCACTCTAAAATTTGAGGTTTTACTTTTCATGGAGGATGCAAAGAATCGAAAAGGCAAATTAAATAAAAAAATATTTCGTCCTCTTTTCTTTAACAAATTGAATTGTTAAATCATTTTAGCGTTTATTTTTAAAGCATTCATTACCCATGTTATTATTAAGCATCATTAGCTATTATTAAAGAAAAAAAAAATAAAAATTTTGGTTTATTATTTTCAATAATGAACCATTGAAATTGACTAAAAATTTTTAGTCAATAAGTAGAATTAGAAAATTGAATAAAAAATTGTTTGTCCGCGCATTTTCTCCGAGAATACTAGACTGATTTTTTTCAAATTTGGGTGTAAAGTCAGGTCACCCGAACAGGATCCTCCTACATTAACATTACTATCCGCCTTTTCCTTTTAAGATGGCGGCCAAACCACCTGTGTTGCTATAGACTTTAGTACCTAGACGAATGTACCGATTTCAATAAAACATGGCTAAAGTCTTCTTCTCGATGCCCTTTACATTTATTTGTACAACATATTTCAGTGAAAAGAAGCTGGAAAAAAAAGTTATGATGGGTGGTAAATTAGATTTACGAATAATAAAGTATTCCCTTTTTGTACATGGTTGATGTATATAGTTATTTAAAAGTTTATGAAGTTTTCTTTAAAAAAAAAAAAAATTATAACAGAAAATTTACTTTTTGTTTTGGTTATAGTAGAAAAGTAATTTTTTCCCCTGCATTATTCAATTTTCAACATGTAACATTAAAAATGTCAATAAATACTCATTAAATTCTTACAGTTGAAATATGCCTTCAAATGATTAGAAATTAACTAGTAGTTCAAGAATAATTCAATATCCTTTTTTTCTGTACAAGCAAGGAAAAGTATCCTACTACAAAGCAAAAGTAGTTGAAAACTATTGCATCTTTTAAACTAAAAAAGAATGATATGAAAAATTCCAAGAATAAAGTGAAATAGTAGATAAACATAAAGACGGTGAAAAATAATAAAGTAAAAAATAAGTATGACAAAATTTAGAACGGTGTTCTTTGCACACCAGCTTTCTCAACCAATGGTGAATAAAATAAATATAACTCACCTTCATCTGGGAAAAGCAGTTCTTGTTTCATGTGAGTAAGACCACCTGCTGGCATAATTATAATTAAAGCAATCCAAGAAAATAAAATATCTCATTTAACATATGAAAAGTTTAGTAAGAACAAACAATTTAAATTGGGTACTTATATGTACTTGCTTCCACTCCACATTCAGCAGGTATAGAATTTCTTTTGATTTTATTTATTATAACATTTCATGAATTTACTTATCTTTTATAGATTTTTTCAGCTGTTTGCTCAATAACACCTCTTCTAGCTTCTTAGTCTGTGATATAGATCCCTTTTTATCAAATTATTAACATCTGCCTGAAACTTCATTAATAGGTTTATCTGATCGTAGCCTACAAATATATTGTTTAATGAAAATCTCAGATTTGTGGCGTTTTCAATATGGAGATCGACTATTTGATTAGGTACTAAAAACTCATGAATACCCATGAAAAAAAAAAAAAAAAAAAGTGGCCTACAAAAATATTGGCATAACCTCCACCCCGAAAAAGTTAAAATAACAAGGTTATATTATATACGGCAAATGCCCAAATATTTTTGCAGGCCATTTTTTTTTTCTTTTTTTTTTTACATCTTATGATTCAAGTGGAAAGTATTCTTCCACATTTTTTTGTCTTCTTTCTAAAATAAATCCATTCTCAGCAGATAGTGATCACTTCCTATTTCAAAAACTCTATGGACTATAACATCAATTACATGATTTCTCATTTCTATATAGTTTTCTCCTAAAATTGTAGATGTTCTTTGGAAAGAATTTGATGTTATTAAGGATTAATGTATTGGCTGCGCATAGATTTAGTATTATTTTCCCTTTTTGTTCATTTTCAATATCTGGCCACTAGTGGAACTTTATTTCAACTTTTCCGACTGTTGGTTTTGCAATCGGGGATGGTTATCGACTTGGGCCTTCGGTTCTTTTCAGTGATCACGGATTCACAAGCATCCTCTTGTGATATCGGTGGTTGATGTTAAGCCGTAGAGGTCATTTATTAATGAATGATTGCAGAGCATATTACCAATTGTGCTCAAAGATCATATACAATTTTTTATTTGATGAGATTGATATCATGGGGCGTCACTCAGCATATTGGGAGGACACCAGGAGTGTCTGACTGTGGCAGACATGGTCATGTGTTTGCAGCTACTCACTGTACGATACCAGTGTTGTGCTGGTCATAACATAAGTCCGGACAGACATCTGGTTTCAGTTTACTGATGAGTAGTTGAAAGTTAGCATGGATAGAATTATCTTTTCTGTGGGCACTTGCATCACATTGTTGTGGAAGGATGAGGTGAGGTTGAGGGTCAGTTAAAACCTTCGAATCAGGTATGACCATCTTCCGGTACTAGCACTTCATAGTAAAATGACTTACTCATTGTTGGGTCTCCTTGCACATCATCTATTCCTCTTTGAAAACTTAAGTTTAAAATTTGAAAATTTAAATACAAATTTCTCTGAGATTGCATAGGAAAGTATTTTTTGAGGCTAATTCTTTTCAGGTTTGTAATCCACATTTGACTCCACTTCTCAATTGTATCTTTTAGAGTTATGTTCTTTCATTTGTTGGAATTTTTGAAAAATACGATTCTCTGAAAATTCTGTCTCTCTCACCAAGGATGCTTTATCACATCTTACAGGGGGAGTCAAGAGGCACTTGGCATCAATACTCCCTAAAATGGTAAGGGCTAGTAAGCATATGGAAAACTGTTTTGTTTTTTTTCAACAAAGCTGATAATTACATATGATCACATGTCAACAAAACAGATAATTAATACAGGTATCAGTGAGATTATAGTTTCACTGGAAATAAATACTTCTATGATCGACCACATGTATTTATCTTAACAAGCTGGGGTGTTTTAGTAGATTAAAAATGAGTAGATTATATTAATAACAATGTAACAGTAACTTTTAAGCAGTTTTTTTTGGATTTGTTAAAAATAAATACATTATATCATCGGTTTATAGCAAAAGTAATTAAGCGAAATTTCATAACTTCAAATAATTAACAACTATGATGAATTTTCTCTTCGTGAAATCTTAAAAATAAGGTCAAAAATATACTTAAAAGTTAACCTTTATCAAAAATGCACTTAGTGATTTCTTTTCAATAATCCAACGATACAAACAATAATTTTTCATTATAATCTATCTCAACTTAATTCTTAACTAAGAAATTTTTGGAGCAGATGGTTAAAGCAAAACAAAAAAAGGGTAAAACTATTGAAGATAATGGCGACATTTTGGTCTACTTTATTAAGGGCTATAAAGAAAATAAATAACTAAGAGGATTCATAAAAATAAATTTAAATTACTAGGAAGATTTACAAGATGATGTATCACTAAAAATAAAAAACTATTAAAAATTTATTATTGATTACTATTAACAAATCTACCTCTAACACAGAGCTGTGCTTTGTTTTAGTAAGAACTGATATCTCTATAAATAAAATAAGAAACATTTAAAAGTAATTTTAGAAAGTACGTAGGCTAAATTATTCCAAACATTCATATACAGAGACATCGCCATGGTTGAAGCATGGAATCAAGGCTTCCCCCATTTCACTATTTAAAAAAATAATTTGTTAAATTTAATCAAAATATGAAGGTTGTGGAAAAATTTTATGACAAAGGTTAATAAAATAAAATAAAAAAACAGTAGGAATACTTTTCAAGTCTAGAAATTCTTAATGTTATCAATGTTCGAGTATTCAAATGGGTGCTGCTAGACACCAGAATTTTAATGTATGCCAACTTGGTTTTGGATAATTGGAGCTTCAAGGGCTGTGACCAATTTAAATGCCTAGGTAGCATCACTTGCAAGAACCAAGACCAACAATTATGAGACCTATTGTGACATATGAATGTGAGACATGGTCCATGATTAAAGAAAGTAAAAGGATCCTTCAGGTATGAGATAGAAAAGTACTTTTCAAAAATTATGGGGCAAGTGGAGGGATCAATGGAGAATCAGGACATACCTAGAGATGAAGGATCTATATTGTGAACAGGACAGTGATAGAGTCATCCAACTCAATAGAATATGATTTTTGGGGCATATGGAGAGAATGAATCTCAAGAAAACTGCTCAATGAAAAGTCAGGTGATGGAAAAAGGTGTGGAAAACCTTGGCTCAGACAGCTAAATGATGTGGAAGGCGACCTTGAATCATAAATATGAAATTCTTTATAGTAGATAGTTCCTTGATCCAAGTACAAGCTCCATTTGTTGGCTCTTATATAAGTGGTAATGCACAATTCTTTAATGACCTTAAAATAGAAGTAATTAAACATCAAAATAACAAAATAGTCACACTTATGGGTGATTTCAGCAGAGCTCATCAAAACGTTTGACATCTTCTTAAAGTTGAGATACTTATTTAACATTTGTGTAAGAAATATGGCCACTGGTACAATCATGCATAACCATACAATATCAGAAACTACTTTGGCTGGTTAGTTGTACTGAGGGATTGTAACTTAGAATTCAGAACGATAACAGATTGAGCATTCATCACAATTAGTGTCAATTCCTTTGATATTTTAAACAGTCATAACAAACTGATGCTTTCAATAATAAAGAAGACATGTCCGAAATAAAAACTGTAAATGAGTAATATACTAACTATCAGGGGCTTAAATTTTGAAAATACCACTGCTAACACTTTGGACTAAATAACTCTGCCACAGATTTATTTATTGAATAACTAGACATATTTTCTTCATTATTGTTGTAGACTTTTGTTTATGTTTATGCTACTATTGCTTCATATGCATTTATTGAAATTTTATTTAATCCTGGCACCGATGAGTGCATACCTGGCAGGGTTTATATTTCATGAGGTTATAATCAATGTTGGATGGGATATGTAAATAGCAAAAATAAAACTTATCCAAGGGCCTATTTCGATCTTAATTAGAACTGATTTTTTTTTAATTATCTTTAAAAACCAAAAATTAAAATAATATTTTACTCACTGTCATCAATAATTGGTTTCTCCTCTTCTATGATAACATCTGCTGATACTACAACAAATTCCAAAAATTAACTAATCTAAAATTTCAACCAACTTTCATTTATGACATCATTTCTTAATATTGCATCACAATTATTATCATATAAAGTGGCATTTGCATGTCAAGGCTGTTAGAATGACTATCAAAGTAAAAATGTTTTATTAATTAATCTCTATTGAGGGTAGGGACAGCCATCGATAGTCGAAACATCAATATTTTCCTTCTGATATTCGATATTTTACCATAGATAGTATCTACTTCGATATAATGGACTATCGATCTCGTCCCTTCGATATTTTAATTATAATTAAAACTATCGTTTTCAGAAAGTGCAAGGAATTATATATGAATCTGATAGTTAGAAAAAATTATACTCATCTTGTCTGTTTCATATAGAATGTAATGCATATTAGAGGATAATATCGACTATTGATGGTCATCCCTAAATTGAGTTGAATAGCGCACGCGGGATCCTTCTCACTCAGTAAACTCAATTTGCCAAAATTTGTTAGAACCTCCTCTAACTATGGCCACAAATTGTCAAAGAAATCTATGTAGAATCCAAATAAATTAGCAATTCGCTGAATCTATGGTTAAATGGAAGGAATAATTGGTTGAATGGAAACTTATAGAAAAAGCTTAAGATGGACAGGAACTAGAAGATTAATTTTATTAAGGAGCGTAGAAGATATTTGATATTTACATTAACTAATTTAAAGAGGAAAAAACATATTTTTTTTATGTGGCTATGTGTTAGAGAATCAATATTTATATTGATATTCATAATTCAAAAATGTTTATAATATTGACTATCGATATTTCAAGTCTGATATTTTCATGGTATCAGTCATGGTCATCAGTTATAGGCTGATATTCATATCGATGACAATATTGATATTGGGGCATCGATATCCCATCCCTAGTTGAGGGTAGTACCCATGATTCTGATGTTATACCAATTATTTTAAAATTATTAATACAAAAACAAAAATAAAACTATAGATAAATGTAAAAATGAAATAGAAAATTTAAAAAATAAGTTTAATATAGTTCACAAGATAGATTTGAAGAATGTACGATATTAAAAATTTTAAATCAGTTTATACAATAATAATAATGAATTTATAAAAGCATTAAATGAAAATGAAAAAAAAAGAAGAAAATGAAAAAAAAAAAAAAGAAAATATAAGAAAGAAAATCCATTTGACCACCTATCAAACGATATGAAAAAAATAATGATTCATCATTTTAAGTGAAAGAGAATAGTAGTTAGATTTGATGATCAAAACATAAATAAATAAATAAACAATAATTAATGCTATTGATTGTCATTCTTTTGAGTCACCACAACAATACTGAAATGTTAATAATATAAACATTCCCCACCTTCATCTGGGATAAGCAATTCTTCTTGTTTCACATGAACATAGCCATCTGTTAACATGAAAATTATAATTAAAATTAAAGGGAAAAGGAATTAAAAAAAAAACAAGCTATAAAAAAGAGCTTTCATTACAATACATTTTACTTAAGGTAAACCATTAAATAAAATAATTGTAAACTATTACATACATTAAATAAGGAACACACAATATGAAAGAATTAAAAGTGAGAGGAAAAAAAACTGTACCACAACTCATGAAGGGTCTTGGGTTCAGTAATATTTAGGAGAAGTACTGTTTCTTAGTTCTTAGTGAACGGTTGTGTAAAGAGGTGATTTGACTGAGATCACGCTCAACTGCCAGGATTTCCCCCTTAATTAATTATTTAATTAACGGTACCCACTTTATAGAGGTTGGGTGTGCCACAGGAGAGTTTCCTGATCCCAGGGTCTCCCCACGACTGATGAAACAGAATAAATAATTTTTCTGCCATGAGGCGGGAGGATTTGGACCCTTGAGCATTAGAAGATATTTTTTGTTGGATATTAAATAAAAATATAATGAGAAATCTAGGTCAAGTTTGGGAGAAACATTTTGTAACCAACATGTGGTCAAGATTTTTTTAAATTTTTACAGTAAAATGATTTGTTTTTCAACAATTTCGATGAAAATAAAAAAATAATAACTTGATAACTAAAGGTAATAGATATTAGAATTCTCCGGTCATAAGTATTCATAAACAGTAAATGTGACTGAACTTTAAACTAAAATTGTACTCATGCAGATTAATTATTTCTAAAAATAAATTATTTGAATTTCAAATTTTCATTTCTACCACATTCTGTAATTTATCAGATATGATTAAATTAAATATGTTTTAAAAGATCTTAAACAATAAAACAGACATTTTTGTAGTTACGTATTATTTTTATCATTATTATATATAATGATTATTTTACTCTTTTTATTAATCTAACCATCAGTAATTACAACATATTGTTTATAAAACTGAATTTTCATCATAAAATCATAAACTGAATTTTCATAATTTTAGACAAAATTAGATAAATATAACAGTTTTCTCACCATAATAGATCTGCTCTGTTTCTTCTCTTTTGATAACAATTGTGTGAACTACAATCAAATCAAATAATAATTTAATTACTTATCAAATTACTAACATATTACAGTAAGAAACTTCTTACCTGTTTTAAAAGATCATTTGACAATTTGATTATAACTACATTTTAAAAAAAATTATATCACATTCTGTCTCAATTAAGGATTATGATGATAATTATGAAAGAGCATTTTCACACCATGTTTACAGAAAATATAAATAATAAATAAGATAAAATATAAGAGTAAAAAGAAATACATAATGAACATAAAAGTTAATTAAATACAGTAAAAATAAATTTCTTAAATAGAGGCATACATATTCAGTATCAAGTAGGAATTCTGCTACAGAATTTGTATGAGTAAGGATAAGGTAAAATTTTTGTGCAAAAACTATGTCAAAAGGTGAAGATAATATGTTTACATTTACTTTGATACACCAATTATTACAGCCATGTTCACTAAAAAAGAAATGTCTTAATAGGTTTATTTAAATAAAGGCACTAAATTTAGGATTTCAGTTGGGCGATAAAATGGCAGTGTCATTAGTGAATGTTACAAGGAAGGCATAGGGATGAAGAATGGATGGGACCAAAGACACTGCCTTGTGATACACCAGCATCAATTGAATAACAATTGGAGAATTTGGTACCTGCTAAGGAGAGGTAGAGAGGTAGAATAAGAGTAATAGATGGAACGATATTAGAATATTACTAGGAATACCAGGTAAATGAATTTTACACTTTAAGAGCACAGACCCAGCCGAAAGCTTGCTATATGTCAAGAAATGGGTCCAAGTAATACCTGCTTGCTTCCTAAGCTGAGAAAATATGGTCAGCAATGTGGAGTCCTCGCTGAACAGTGGAATGTTACAAATAAATTCTAAACTTTTGGAAAGAAAGATTTTAAGATTCTACAATAGGTAAGATTCAACTAAATAGAATCTTTTCAACGAATTTTGAAAGGACTGAGAGTAAGCAAATAAGTGTATAATATGCCATGTTATGAGAATGTTTTCCTGAAATTAGGAATAGGATGACAGTGCTATTTTCACAAGAGAGGAAAGTGTTTAGTTTATTGAGTCAAATTGTAAATATATGTAAGGAATATGATATTCCCAGAACATTAAATGAAGCAATGGTATCAATACTTGATTCCAATCTTATTGAACATAACCAATTTATTTTTTAGAACACATGATTTAAAAGTTAAAAAAAAAAAAAACAGAATAAATAATACTGGTTCACAAATGTCATATCTGATTGATAAGAACACACTGTAGATGGAATTCCCAAAGTGCAGATTTGGGAACGAACCCCAACAGTGTTGCTCTACTTTGAAGGGCAACCGGAATGGACCAAAATCTAATGATCAAACTATAAATAAATGTTGAGAACACAAACATAATAACATCTCTTTATTATGTTATGTTAATAGCATGATTTGCAACTTCTTCAAACTGCTTACTAGTTCTTTTCAGTTAGAATTAGGCCTTAATTACATCGCTGATTTTCACTTCCCCTAGCTCAAAAAAAATAAACAAACTCCCAACAGGTCCTTTAAGTTGTGGTTGGGGCTTACCCGAGTGGAGGGTTCAGTCATTTCCATTTACTTTCAGTAACACTCAGCCATTCTCAGAATTCCACTTACAGTGTGTGATATCATGAGATATAGTATCTTCGATCTAAGTGATATAGCTTGTGAAGTAGTACTCTTTAAAATTTGTTAACATTTAAATGATTTTAAAAAGAACTTACAAGAAGGGGTAGTTTCATCAGACATTTCTTTTGGTACAGAAACACAAAAATCAATTTATCTGGAAATTAAAGAAAATATATGATTTTAATTATTATATCCACAATATGTGTCAACAATTAGGGTAAACACACCAGCGATGGACATAGATAAGAAAATTTTTGTCTTATTTTTGAACCTAATTATTTACATTTAAAGTCCAACCTGTCCATAACTGGTGTGTTCATCCTATTGAGATTTTTACTTAATGAGGGTCTATGACCAACAATTAGCGTTTACCTATCAAACAATATGAAAGCAAATACTGGATTCCTTTTGTAATGAACTAGCTATATCTCATTATAACTTAATGATATTTTAAAAATCAGTTTGAACAAAAAAATATCTAGTGTTTTTAATATTCAGTGGTTGGTTGGTGGTTTCAGATAATAATATCCAGTAATTTTTTTTTCTAAAAATTGTATTAAGAAATAATTTATTTAATTATTAATATTATCAAACAATTAAGTGTATTGCAAAATGATTATTAAACATTTACACTATATCAGCAATGGGTAGACATATTTTTAAACAAAAAAATAATAGTAAAATCACTTACAAAAATGACAGTAAAATTGCTGATAAATAAAAGTGAAAACTTATAGAATACACTTAAAAAAACACATCCCTAAAACAAAAAGTGATTTTTCTCTAATTTAAAGCCAACATGACGAAGTTTGTGATGAACTTCCATCAATGAAGTAGCGAAAAAAAAACAACTGAAGTAAGGAATAATATTTATTTCTTATGATTGAAAATTGCTGAACATGACCTTCCCCCTCCAACTACCTTTTGATACCATAGAGGTTAAACTTTTTCGGTCAACAATTTGTAAAGTTGTTTTCTATAATAGCCTTTCAGTTGACAGAATGACTAACTCCAATTTCAATATTTTTGAGTAGTCATTTTAGTGATATTTTATAGTTGGAAAATTTATAATATCTGTACAGACAGTAAGTTGATTCCAGAATAGGTGGTTGCAGTGTTAAAATATATTGTAGAACTGTGATTAAAGGTATGAATTTTCCCGTTAGGAATATCACTAATATTAATAATAAAAATGTTTAAATTATAGTTAATCATTCTGTCAACTTAAAGTATCATATATAGAATTGTAAAAATAAAAATGCCATAGTTTAGAAGAAAGTCGGACCAAATTAATAATTAAATATTTTCCAACTTTAGTTTAATCATATTGTTCATTATTTTTATCTAAAAGTGAAACAGGGTTAATTTTTTAAACATTACTACTACTATTTCAAAATAAAGATGTATAATTGTACATTCTGTACATATCGACAAAATGGCCAATGTCCAAAATTTAAAAATTTGAAAGTAATGCGAGCAAAATATCACAGTAGAGTACAATTAATAATTAGTAGGGAGTACCTTCTTTCGGGCGTTGTGCTCATCGATGGCATATCCAGGAATCCATCAAATCGTTTCTAAACTAATCGATAGAAGCCATACGTGGTATTCAGAGTCTTCCTATATTCATAGATTGAATCAACAATTACTCATAGGCTCCATCGCGATAAATTTTCTTTTAATGTTGATGGATCTGCTGTATATAACCTCATTATAACCTTAGCGTTGCCATATATCAATTTACTGAACATATTTATATTCAGTTTACTTTTCCGCAGTCACGTTGGTGGAGCAACGTTTAAGGCGCCTGCAAAAATTTTAAGCTACGGGTTTAAATCCCCTTGGTAGGAATTTAAAAAAAAAATATGAATAATAATTAATAATAAATTAGAATTAAAATAAATAAGTGCAGTCATATACTAATGACGGAAGTCAATAAGTCCAGAAGGGTTAGAAAAAAATATATAAAAATAAAGTTCATTTTTCCTCTGTATTTATTTCTGTTTTGAAATTCAACTATTAGTAAGTTAGGTTTTTTTTTCATGTGTTTTGTAACGCTCCATGAGAGTTTACCTTCCAATAGGTTGTTCGTACCCAAGGTCTATAAAACTACCAGGTTCGCTCACTCAGAAACTCGCGGTGGTGGTGGGAATTGACTCGTGACGTAAGGACTAGACCGCCAGACCTACATATTGCTTTTTTAAGGCTATCGATGAAGCCTTCTTTCAACATTATTGTGCATTTTTTTCTTATTTCTTTTATTGAAATAAATACTTTTCTGTGTTTTTAACGTTCAATTGAATATAATTTCAATTATATAAATAAATAAACACAATTTGCAACCTAGAATAAAATGCTGTGAAAATTACAGCCTAGACCTGAAACAAAATCGATATTTAGATTATTTTTGAATTCTTTATTTCAAAATCATGTACTGTAAATAATATACAAATAAATTACATAAATAGAAAAAACGAAGATTTATATTTATTTATAGGAACAAAACAACATTGTAACAATTTTTTGTTTAATTTTGTTTGTAGATCTCGCGGGTATTCCTTTTAATAATATAATGATATCATAATAATATTGTTATGATGAAAACAATTGTCAGGAATTTAGTCAACATTTCATAAAATTAAATATTTTTTAAATAATTGAAAAAATAAACACTTTTTACTGCAAATCCTGATAATTTTTTTCATCACTATAATTTTAACAGTCAACTACTTACCCATCTCTATAATAATGCTATACCGAGTATTTCTTTTGTTTTCTTTGTTGTTACAGAGAATTCAATTTTGTTATTAATATTTCTTGAATTTTTCATAATAGCATAACTATTATTGGAATCTTATAGAATGCCCAGATACAAGGTGTGTAAGATTCCACACCAATTGTATAAAATTCCATTTTTATATTGTTATTGCAATAATAATATCATTAAAGACCAAATATAGTAAACAAATTTACTTCTTTTTCCAACCAGAAAGCTGAAATTGAAATAAAAAAAAATATTTAACCAACATTTACAGTAAGTAAACTGAAACTTAAAAATGCTAAGCTAATTTCATGTTCTTGTTTTCAATAATCTGCCTTATAAGAGTTAGTGAAGCAAACATTTATTGAAGTTATTATTTTGAAGGAGTAGGATACATGGATATAGGACTGGCTATAAATAATAAGAGCTATAAATAATTAATAAAATAAATGAGTTAGAATGATCTGAGTCATTTGTTGCGTTCGATCTTTTTCGTAGGCGCATACGCCAGTTTCGCTTTTCCGCCGATTAAGTGCATTTCCTAAAGAACTGTTTCAAATATGTTAAAAAATAATCAGTGACTTAGTAAGATAAATGTATAGTCCGTGGTACAGATCACTTTTTATCGAATTATTAACATCCCCTTGAAACTTCGTTAATAGTTCTACTTGGATCGTAAAATAATTTGATCACAAAATAGATAAAAAACGTGGCCTACAAAAATATTGAGCCGTTTGTCCTATATAACCTCCTTATTTTGAAAATCTGGAGTTGTAGTTCACGCCAAACGGCTCAATATTTTTGAAGGCCACCTTTTTTTCTTGATTTTGTGATCAAATTATCATACGATCCAAGTAGAAAGTAAATGTGTATTTACGAGTTTTGAGAACCTAATTAAATAGTCTGTTCCCCTCCAGATTGAAAATATCCCAATTCCAAGAGTTTTCGTAAATAAAATAGGTGTAGGTTACGATGAGATGAAACTATTTATGAAGTTTCAGACGGTTGTTAATAATTCGATAAAAAGGGGTCTGTACCACGGACTAGTACTCTCTAGTTATATTTCAAGGCGTTTTTCGTTATTTTTGACAGTTTTATTACAATTGACGTTTGATTTTCAACTTTAGTTTGAACGATTTGAAAAAATGACTTTACTGGTATTGTTTATTGCCAAGGCCAATTATTTTTAAAAATGTTTTGAAGCTTTATTATACCCTGAATATCCAACATTAACAAAAGACCAATTATGACGAAATTAAGCCAACTACTGAAGCTCAGTGACTGAAAAATAAACTCAAGCCAATGTCATCTGACGCCATTCTGGGACAGTGAGGCCACTTTTTTTTTAAAACATCTTTTTTTTAATATGTAGTTTCAAGGAACAATGCGATATGCAATTTATAATGATGTGGAGGGAGGGTGCATGGAAGGAGAATCTTTCCCACAGACTACACTCTTCCACTAAATCTCTCCCCCTTTTTATTTGTATGAAGTTATAACATTTTAGGTTTTATTAATATGTTAATTTATAATGTATTATTTGGTCGATTGCAAACGTTACTGGCATGACACTTACCGCCTTTATTTAGATTTTATGTAATTTTCAGTAAATTGTAATTAACTTTTGCTTTTTGCTTCCTCACTACCGAAGATAGGGAAGCATTGTATTCGTGCGAGAGGTTACAAAAATTGTGTGCTCAGAAATGAAAAATTTCACTCGCGTTTTACGTTTTAGAAATCAACAATCAAATTTGGTTCGGTGTCTGTCTGTCTGTAGTCAAATCGATAAAACGGGCATATCACCCACTGTCGTTTATCCAATTTTCATGAAAGGTATATAGATTGTGCGGATTGGTTTCTAGATGGTCCCATATCAATTTTATCAACTTCCTTCCAGAACTCCCGCATACGCCCGTGCAAACATATTTTTGAAGATGTGCCAATATTTGAAATGGCTCGTTCGATTTCGTTCAAAGTTGGATAAAATTAGGTATTGGTGAAAACATAATGCAGAGTCGATTTTATTGAACAGAAACAAATTTACCTTGATACGTCCATATCTCTAAAACCGCACGTTCGATGTGGCTCAAATTTGCAGGGAAGTTAGGGATTGGTAAACAGATAATCAAGTATGAATGAATTTTATCAAATTTTATCCCCTAATCTAAAAAAAAAAATACAATCAGTCTGCAGCTGATATAAGTAGTCTGCTACCATGGAAAATGGGAAAGGACAATATAATGGGAAAGGACAATAAAACATAAAATTATACTAATAAATTATTAGTTTTTATGTCCAATAAAACACTGAATTTTCACCTACGACCTTTGAATTACTCAATACTGACCTTACTTGGCAAACTTTTTTGGTTAATAAAAGAAAGTCTTATTTGTAATAATAACACTATCCGGTAAAAAACAACAGGATACAGACGTCTGCAAAAGGTTGCCATCCACCCCGATGAAGAGGGTGATCGCGTACGGTTATTACAATCCACTTGCTCCCAGAATATCATCTATGTACGAATAGATCCAAACGATCACAGCTTATCGCCTAGAACAGCACCGATGCTGCGAGAAGACTAATGGCGGAAGTTAAAAGAGCCAAGAGGCGTTTAAAAAAAAAAAAATATATATATATGCTCTCCTGTAAAACACTACATTTTTACATACGACCTTTTGCACTAACAGTAGCAATATACATCTTCAATAAGTTCTGAGATTTTTTTTACGCGATTTGCAAATGTGGAACTCTTTCGCATTTTAATATTGGCTGATGAACAAAATTTGTGGATATCAAAAATCACCTCATCATAATAATATGATTATGATGATTACATATGACACATACATACAATATATCAAATATCACCTGTTATCGAGTTACTGTATTTCCGAAAACGGCTTCTCCCGTAGGTTTTATTCTTATACTAAAAATTATAGTCTTTGAAATATAGCCATTGTTTATCTAATGAAAACGGTGAGGAACCTATACTTACTTGACAGACTTTTTTTCCTTATTTCACCATTTCTTTTGTGGGTTTTAGCTTTTTTTAAAGATTTTGCGCACATTTACAGCACCTTTCGTGTGAGACGATTGAAAAATTG